AAAAAAATCACGGACCAAACAAAAACGGAGCAGCCTGCTTCCCATGGCAGAGAGGAGAGGGCTTAGTGTATGACTACTGATTGAGCAACAGCACCTCTGCTTTTCATTAATGACCTTTAAGCCCTGTAGCACCCCTCCTAGGCAAAACATCATGTTGCCTCCTTTTTTGCCTCCTGGTGAGCCTGTTCCATTTTCTTAAGCTCGTGTGTACAAAACTGAATTTCATTTTCCCACCACATGACTGTTTGCTGTTGCTTCAGTACAGTTTCTTAGAGGTGTTATATGTTCTGATTTGAGCCCAGGGGTTTGCTCGCTCTTTGGATCAGTAAAGAAATCAGACGAGCAAAAGACATCTTTCTACCTCAGATCTCTAAGGATTTGCAGTTGCCTGAAGAGGATACCACCAGATGCCACCTGCATTAAAGATGTTTCTCTTCTTTTAATAGATACACATCTCTGGGCTAAATTCACCACTGCTTTAGCATCATTCATAGAATCAGATTGTGACCAGCGGGACACGTGTTTTTAAGTGTTTGTCTCCTGGACTAGCACGTGAGCATAGGCACGTTTCTTGAGTTACAGAGGAAAAGAGAAATATATGTGAATTACTCTTTAGAGGCTTGTAAAGCCATATAAAAATTGATGGGCTTGCTGCATTATTCAAGCTACGTAATTTTATTACAGATCTGAGTAACACATGGGGCAACCGATTTATTATTGTTGTCATATTTTACAGAGTGAATGTTTTACAAAGAAGACTTTACTGCATATATTTTTAAAAGTACAGGGCAATTCCTTGGAAAATGCCAGTCTAAACTTATTTATAAGGAAAGCAGAATTTTATACACAGGCAAAAGTAATCTATTCATATCATGATATGCAAACTATTACTTAATAAATGGTGGAAAGAATCTCATCATCTGATCCAGTACTTCTCCATTAGCATCTTATTTGGGGTAGAGGTGCAGGATGGTCGAAAGCAAAAATAGAGATAGGCCTTAAAATACAAGCAAGAGCCTCTCTGTGATAGCAAACCAGCCATTTTTATTGCATAATAGACATTATTTATAAGTAATTATGTATAGGTGGTGACTGCTGATAAACATCAGGTTGAAATGCGTTGCAACAAGGAACTGGTTTTCATTGAATATGAGGGATAAGATTAATCTCATTCTGACTCTGCTTGCCTAATGACTAGTCTAAGTCTACACCCCTGTCTCTGATCAGGGTCCAAGATCGGTGGCTTGAGTTGCTCCGTGGAGTTGATTGTCTCCACTGATAGTAGGAAAACACTAGGCAACCACCTCGGTTATTGAAAACCAAATTTTCAACACTTTAAGGCTAAGACAAATAAACAACTGCTGGTAGACTAATTTGGCATTAGAACTGGAAACAGAATCAGCTGAATTGAAAAGCAAAATGTTTTCATTTCAGTGTGCTGCTGCAGATCCCAATCTGCACTAGTTTTGGTTGCCATCTCCCAGATTCCTACCCTGATTACATCTCTGCATTAGCAATAAATCCCCTCTTGCTGCCTGCTGGGAAGTCCAGCCGGGGGAGGAGGCTGGCAGACCACAGATTTTAATATTCACTTCCCAAAACACAAGATGAGACATTTTGACAGTCCACCACAGCAGTTCCCTTTCTGGTCCAGTGTTGAAATTGATTTAATTTGTCACTGGTTTATGGTTTAAAAAAATAAATTTAAAAGATTGAGGCTTAGCTATTTGAGGATTTGATCTCTGAATTAGGAATTTGAAGCAGTCGGTTTGTACTTGTCACTGCTGTTTCATTACTCGTTCTGCTGCTTCCATAGCGTGGGCGGAATGTTCCTCCACGAAGCTGAGACTCGCTTTCTTTTCTCAAAGACCCTAATGAAGATAAATCATGCAGTCAGCAGCTGTTTTCTTTCCAAGAATTCTTCCTAATTTTGCACTTTGTAGATGGTTCCTGCTACATTAGTTATCTTTTACCTCTGAGTGCAGTGATCCAAAACCAAGCGAGTAGAAGCGACAGGATGCGGCAGAGGACTACACAACTAATTTTCTACCGTGCCTAAAGCAACCTTTCCGCAAGCTGACACGTGGTTACATGGGACATAGAGCAAAGCTGCAGTCTGCTGTAGAGTGGCTGCATCATTCATGTGGGAATCCCTTTGCCTGTCACTGCTCTGGGCACAAGTGGTACATCTGCACAGCTAGAAGGGCTTTTCCATCCATAAATCTTTGCACAAGGGAATTCTGGAGTCAGGAGTGGTTGATAGATACCATGAGGTGCTTGCATGCCTGGTGGTGGTCTGAAAACCCAGCCTCACCAGAGCCCTTTTTTGCTTAGGGTCTGTGTAAGTAGGACTGTATTTCTTGCAGATGGGGAAAAAAACACAGGTGACCCATGACTGAGTTTAAATTCTCATCTGTACAATATTTTTAGAGTGAAAACAGAAGTTCTGACTGAGTAACAAGCTGGCAATACGTTGGACTAAGGACATTTAGCACTGAGTTAACCATACCTACCTGAAAAAAGATCTGAAGTCGCTGGAGCTAAGCTTACTTGTTTACAGCCTGCATAGCTTACAGGCCATGTCTGGTCCAAGCAGCACTGTGAGAAAGTTTCCTTAATTTGTGATTGAAGTGCCTTTCTCTCCAAAGGTTGCCAAACTAAACTCTTAACAGGAGGTTTTATCTGGTAATTAAATTACTCAGACTCATTGTTTCTGTTTTGACTTTGCCATAGCATGTGGTTTACAGGTTGTCCTGGTCGGAGTAGATGCTGCGGTCGTTAATAAAGAACAGGACTTGATCTTCTGTTGACAGGCTCATGTCTTTTTACTGCCATGTATTGGATGAACCCCGGCCCCTTGCACAATCCTTGTCACAGCTCTCCTGGATGCTGCAGAACCCAGACTGCCTCTGTTGCATTGAGATGGGATGTCTGTGCGATGTGGCTTTTGCTAAACGTGCTGGGTGAGGCCCAAAGTCTTCTAGCTCAGGATCCTGCCTCCAGCAGCAGCCAGTGGTGGATGGTGACCACCCTTTGGGAGCAGAGTGGTCACCAAGTGGGAGACTGTGTGGTAGCTACCTGATTGTGGCCTCCCAGCTTCTAGCATTCACTGTTTTCTGGACTGTTGGAGAAGATGGAAGCACAGCATCTAATACCCCTTCCAGATTTATCTTACGTTAATTTATCTAACCACTTTTTGATCTCATTCAGGCTTTTAACCTCTGTGTTGCTGAGGAACAGTGAATTTTGTAACTCATTACATGTTCTGTGAAAAAGTACTACTACTTGTTTTCTGCTGTTTCTAAACCTCCTCTCTGGTAATTTCTATGGATTCCCACTAGTTCTTGTATTATGAGAAGTAGTAAATAATAACTCCCTGTCCACCTTCTGTGTGCTATTCATGATTTATAGACCACTGTCAAATCCGCCCCTGGCTGAAAAGTCAGAATATATTCTGTTTACACTTAGTTCATACACATCTATGCTGTTCAAAGTGCTATATAAGCAGTTTTGGTAATTAAAAGAAGTAAATTAAACATACACCTGGGCACAGAGACTTAGTAGCACTGAGAATTTGTGGCTACAGCTGACATTATTGGAAGGCATCTTCAGGCTGAAAATCAGGGTCTTAGTTTAGAGATACGGAGGGATCAATAAGGATACTCGGAGGGGGATTCAGCTGTGTCTAAGCTAGAGAACAGCATCAAGCCACGTGACAGGCATTCTGCAAACCTCTGCTCCATTCAAATGCTGCAAAGTATTTGTTGTCTGTGCTGAATATAAGCAACCAGGCTTTCTGAAATGATCACCCCAAAAATTACTGTACAGTAACTTGAAAGATACTGAGTTTTACCCTCCAAGGATCAAAGACAATGTTATCCCTGTTTCATTCTGTCACAAGAGTTTCTGAGAGTTAGGGATTTTGAATCCAAAACTCAAAGACTTGGATGCTACCAGTGGCCTGTCTATTCCTGTACCCCAGGAACTGAGCATCTTCTGACGGGGAATGTTTTTAGGAGCAAAGCTATTCATACACGAGTCTCAAATTATCTTCAATAGCATGCTCAGCCAAATCTGAAAAAAGAATACAAGTACACATTAATTAAGAATTAACATAATTCTGTTCCTTGAGTATGGTGTTCATTAAAATATAAAATCTGTGAAAATACACTTGAGAGGAGGCTTCTCAATATTTTTAAAAGCTTAATTTTCAGTCACCCTTTATTTATTTTTTCATTAAGAGAGAAGAAAAAAGATGACACTTGACTTTCTGGAACTTCCCATTTGCTTCTCAGATATAGCATCAAAAAGTTGCTGAGTGTCCTTAACTGCTGATGGGGCAAAATCAGGAATGATTTAGATTTATATGAAAAGCAGAGATATGGGATGACATTTTCAAAAGTGCCTGAAAGCTGCATTTGTGAAGCTGTTCAGACAACTAAAGGACCAAGAAAGTATATGAGGGGATTATTCAGGCGTATGTGCTGACCATTAATGCAGTGCAAAATGCACATTTGAATTTTGAGAAATTTACATTCCTAGGCATTGACATGCTTTTAGAAATCTGACTGTTCATTGTAGTACCACAAATGAGTTTTTAAAAAATAATTCTGTAATGGAAGACTGAAGTGTCATGTCCACCACTGTTTGGAAAATAGGATTTAACCTTTGACCAGCCACAGCAAGTAGTGTAACACCTGAATACTCTTGTAAGTGTTGGTGAACAGTCCCTCAGCAGTAACCTGAGCTCTCATACCACCTCACAATTAGCCACGCTGTTTGGAAATACTAATGGTCTGCAGGAGGCTTTGCACTCCAGAAAGCATCTTTCGCCAGGTGAGGGAGATGGCACAGCACAACAGAGGCCAGTTTGCATCCAGATGCATCTCAAACAGGACAAAGTTTGCTGATGATTCTCAGTTCCCCCTTCAGTTTGTGTTCCACTTCGCCCTGCGTATCTGTTTTTCTGCTGACTTACCGAACTTCTTTGTGTTTTGCAGAACGCCAAAGCCAGCTATGACTTCAGCAGCAACGATCCCTACCCTTACCCCCGCTATACAGACGACTGGTTCAACAGGTAAATGGCTTTGAGCAGCCTGCTCTTCGCTTTGCTTTGCTTAAGGAATAACTATTTGCTGGTATTTGTGGAATGCCTCTTTTCTGCTAAATTCAGTGGTTGCCAGAAGAGAACCTGCAGTCTCACTACTGCTTGAAAATTAGAGGTTACTTACGACCCCATTGTTTTAGGTAATGTCTAAATAGCACTGAACAACCATTTGATGGTTTATAAATGAAGTTGGTGCTTCAGAAAGTATACATGCAAAGTGTTAGAATGGCTGATAGCCATGTGCCATCTTCTGTCAGCTGTCCTAGGACATTGCAGTAACACAAATGTGTATGTGCTTAACATAATTTTGACTGGTTTCCCATCTACTCTGTCTGAGGCAGTATCACTGCTGTCTAATTTTAAAGGGAGGAAGCTGGAGACAGGAAAAAGCTTTGGGAGGAAAAAAGGTCTTTTCATCTGTTTTTAGACTAGAAAGGCAGAAAAACAGCATGGTGTAGAATGACCAGTTTAAAAACAATTAAATCTTACATAAGTTCTGAATCATCTGTCTTTTCAGCTTGATTTAAGGACAGTGTACATGGATAGCATTTCAGGGCTCATTCTGAGACACTTCTAGCTGCTGAAGGAATTAAAGCCCATGTACACTGACTGGGAACTTGGTTCTTCTGTGTTTATAAACCTGGAATCAACAGTGCAGCTGTGCTTGTTGTATTTCGAACACATGACGATTGCCCCAGTCCCACTCCTCTGTCAGTTTGCTCTGAACTTAGCCAGTTTCCAGCAGGTGAAGGAAGGTCTGATCCTCAAGGTAGGATATAAATAAGAGTGGCCTAAAATACAAGGCTTCAGATTTTTTGAGAATGGAACAGAAACACGCATTGAAGGTTTTTTTAAAAAAACTGTGTACCCTGGATTCTGCATCCATCCCATGAAAAAGCCCTTTCTGACAGGATAACTGTTCCCAGCAAGGCACTGAGGTAGTTGGGGTGCAGAGGCCCAGGCACACCCAGAAGGTGTGTTTACTGCTTGGTGATTTCAGCATCTCTGGCTCTGCAGCATACTCCCCAGGGTCTCAGGCAGGTTCTGGCTTGGATTTGCAAAAATTGTTTCAAGTTATTTTCCATTGAATTTCTAAATGTCTTCTAGTTGTATATATCGTTGATGTTGCCAATGTTTACATAGCAGCAGCACTGAGGATCTGAAAACTTGTAAAGGTTTTGGGGTTCAGTCTTAGTGCTTATCAAAAAATATTTCAGGCCTATTTTATGTGGTTTTCATCTCTTAACTTAGTATGGGTGTATTGATGGCCCCTGAGTTTTGTGTGGCTTTATCTGTTTTTATTTGTAAAGAAATCAGTTTTAGTTCTTTCATAATGGCACAACAAAGATTTGGAACAGCTGTGCTTCCACCTCAGACACAGGCTCCCTGGAATGGATCAAACAGATTTAGGAGCTGTGATGTCCTCCTTTGTAGTCCTGCCATTTTTCAGCCAAAGCAAGATGCCAATGAGATTTCCCCTTCATTTCAGGAAAGGACATCTGACACTTTTAAACTAGTATGAATCCAATTAGCAGATGGAAAGTTGAAGAAAGACAAGGGCTCTAATTTGTGAAGGTCTGCTGCCTTTCTCGCTTTATTTATGCAAAGGATCTTTGTAGGGGAAAGATAGAGCTTAGCACTGGAGCAGCACGGAGAGAAATTAAATTTAACTTTAGTGGGTAATGGTAGCTTGTGTCATTTTCAGCGTGGAACTTCATAAAACTAAGTGTGTTCTGCCAAGCCCCATTAACACTGATTGTACTGCTATCAAGTATTTTATAGTGGGGCACAGTTTGCAGTCCTCCTGTGTTCTGCAAGGTGGGCCTGGAAGCAGTTACCTCCTAAAGTCTCTTAAAACAGGCTTTGAGCATCCTGGATGTGGCAAGGCTTGTGATCTCTGGCTCCCGGTGCCTCTGTCTGACTTCAGGCACCCAAGTGAAGAATCAAGGGTGAGCAGCATGGTCATCTGTGACCTGATCTGTAATTATTGATGAAAACGTGGTGCTAGTTTTCAGAGAACTGCAACACTTTTATTTCTTTTCTTGAGGGGATGGAGAGCTCAAGTCAGGAGGAGAAAAGCAATGCAGAAATTGCTTGGCTGATTTCCTTCATTATTCTTTCCAGAAATAAATTAATAACTAGAAAGTATAGCATTTTTTGCCATGAACTTTGAGGTTTCTTTGGTAAGACAGGGAATTTTCTGCCTTGCAAGGTAAATTATGGGAGCAACACAACATTCAGTAAAGCATCCCTTTCCTGCCTGCACAATTCAAGAAGGCTTTAAGATGCAAGATTTCATCTTTTTTCCAGGTGGGGGTGCAGAACAACACATCATGGCCAGCTGTTCAGGAGTAGTTGTGACTATGTTTTTCCTTTGCTTATTTCTTTGCTATGCTGTTAATCAAGCTGCTATGCTTATAGATAACCTGTTGTCATAACTTCTGAATTACTGTTACCGGTAAGTTACAACTGTCTGTGTAGGACAGGCTGTCTGTCCGTACCTGCAGCTGCGCAGGTGTGTCCGGACAGGGAGCAGTTACACAGAGAAGCCATTCAGAGACCTGCAAGAAAGGCTCCATTTTGCTCAGTTTGCAGTCAGTGATGTATCTCCCATTGAGTTTTATGCATGCAGGAGGATCAGACTAGAAATAGGATAGCGTAATATCCCTTTTTCTGTCAAGAATACATTTCTATGTGAGCAATTCAAGTGATTGTGGAACAAGAAGCAGAGGACTGTTTTTTTAAAGAGATGAACCAAGGGGCTTTTGTGAGCTGCCAGCTGCATGTGCAAAGTGTCATTAGACTTTAAGAAAAAAAAGGGAGAGGTTTTTGCATGGAGTATTTCGTTAATCACAGCTGCTCTGCTTGTAAGCACAGATTCCCCTTCCACTTGGTGCTTTTTAAGGTTGGTGGAAGCACTTTGGCCTTACCATCTAGCAACCACTGGCCTGTGAAACTGAGCAGGGTGGGCTTGGAAGGGGCAACGTGGTGGGGCAGGAGATTGCAGTCGGGCAGTCCGGCTGCTGTGGCAGGGAGAGGCACTTAGATTGCTGCCTAGTCAAGAGACTGGTTCCCGTGCATACCATGCTGACTGCTTGCAGGCTGTGTTCAGACCCACAGCCTGGGGACCAAGCCAGGATAGGGGACGCTGGGTGCAGCATGGGGCAGGGCTGGGTTTGAGCCTGAGGAGCAGTGAAGGGACCTGAACCAAACCATGCTCCCAAAAGCAGAAGCAGCTCCACAGCGCTCAGTGGTTTTTAGGCACCACTTTGGGAACTGCCTGAGACTTTTTTTAACACCCACTCCTCCTGAACCATGTTCAGTACCTTGACATGTACCTTGTTGTGTGGTGTGGAGGTACCCACAGGAGTACAGCCCTCTGGTTTCTTGTTGTGAGCATGCAGAAGGCACAACTCAGGCCTCGCCATCTCAGAGCACTGAGATTACACATTTCTGCCATGATATAAATAACCAATAATTATTTCCACTCCTGTAGCCTTTGTATTCTGTGTATTCTCACCCAGGTAAGAGTTAGCTGGGCAAAAATCGTTATTTTGGAAACCCATATTCTTCAGAGGTAAAAATGTCCTTTACTTATTATGGATGTGAACAAAATATCATTGAATCAAGGAAAGAACTCCCCTTGGCTTCTAGACAGCACTTGTTAATGGGGTAGAAACACCTGCTCCCCTCCTCCTCATTTTTCAGTCAATGGAAACAACATAATAATTGAAAATTGGTTTAAACAGATTTAGCAGCTCGTTCCACCCGCAGTGTTAGGACACGAGTCAAGGAAGAGTCACCGCACTGCTGCTGGTTCTTGGCATGTTTGTATGCAGGCAGAGCTGCACCTTCCCCAGAGCAGGGCAACACTTACCCTTGTGCAAACACTCAAATGCTCAGAAGCTGACAGTGTCATGTGAGTAAAAAGGAGATGGCATTTGCCCCACAAAAGTGCCCTCTGAGCTTTGCATATTTAACAGCTGCCCAGTGTGAGCAACTGAAGTGGTCAGGGTAGGCAGATGGTCCCAGCTATTGAGACTGCAGCTCTGCACAGCCCTCCCCTGCAGACAGCTGAAGTTGGGCTGGATGAATCTCTCCTTTGCTGTCTGCAGAAGCATTTCAAAGCACCTCAGTGGAAATCTGTGCCAGCTCTTGACGCTTCTAAAATGTGTTGATAGAAGGGCAGGCACAATACCATTGGCAGTAGGTTTTAGAAAAAGAAATTATTTTCAAAGACAAAGCAGAGTGATATTTCATAACAAGTACAGATACGTTATTTAAACCAGCTGAAAGCAAAACTGAGTTTCCATTGAATCCCCCTCTCCCACCTTAGGTTTTAATGAATGTTCGTGTAAAATGTTTGCATTTATGTAATGTTTATGTAAAATTTGCTCTGCATGCTAATATATGGTTTACCTTTGAAGTAACTTTTTCATAGAGGAAAATATTCTTAATTGTTTTCTATTCCCTTGTTTTAAGCATTGAAATAATAGTGAAGAGAAAAGCTGTGATTTGTGCACATGACACGGATCACTTCATAGAAACCACAATGGGTTTATCAATGGTACATGAACAGCAAATGGGGCTAAATTGGAAAAGTCTGCTATTTGCCATTAATAATGCAACCAAATGCATTTGCACTAACTCACATGTGATTCTTCTCCAGTCAGCAGCTCAGTGTCTAAACCCTGAGCTGCTGGAACAGGTTTGTTTGTAGTCTCCATCATGTGGGCCGGTGAGATGGGGGAGAAGACCTTCTGATAAAATCTTTTCACCAGGAAGGTCCTAACACAGGTTTTCCCTCTGTGAGAGAAAGAGCTGGCAGTGTCACCAATTTTTTTGCACCCCAGCATCAGTCAAGGCAGTTTTTTAACAAAGCCATTTATCCTGCTCTGTGGCTTGTAGCTAGCCCACAGGTGACTAGATAATGAATGCCTAGCAACACTACATTTTTTTCACAGTTCCTTGAACAAGGGCATGAGGGAAAACCTGCTTGATTGTTGAAAGAAATTTCTCCAGCAGCTGAATAAGAAAGCTGTATCGCTCTCCTCTCTGCCCCCTTGGTAAAAGGAACTTGCATGAAATCTTCACCCTTTCACGATCAAGTCGCTGTGTACATTCAAGGACAGTCATTTTCTTTTGTGTAGCTGCTTTTAAAAATATATTCTTCCAAGTACAGCAGCAAAAAGAATGTGTTTTTTCTCACCCCTTTACTAATGTTACACTCACCTTTGCCAGAGACACTTAAAGGGGGAGAGAGAGGGGGGAAAAAAAAAAAAGAAAAAGGGGATTAAAGCAAAATGATTCTGCTGCCCCCCAGGATGGTTCATCTGGCACTCGCACTCTGTATAGCCCTGAGAATACAGCCCTGCTAATCACACGAATCCTTAGCATGCTATTGGAGCAATGCCAGTTTTAATGCACAGAGTGGATTGATGTGAGCAGGAGGATGGATTCGTATTGATTCAACATCTTAAACGAAAAAAAACCTGACAGCAGCACAGATTTCACTATTATTTTCTGCCGCTCTGCTATTTTTTTTTAAACTAGATTATATTGTCCATATTTATCTTCTCTGTGGTTTAATTTCTGTGATGACTTAGGAGAAAGGAGAATGCGATCTGTCTTGCTGCAGGACTGCCTCAGAGCCACTGCCAGTTAAAGGGGCTCTGACAAGAGCTGTGAAGCACTTCAGAGACACCAAGTGTTCTTGAAATGCCATGTGTCAGCCTGAACCTGGACCTCTGTGTCCGAGGAGAGACACTTTCCACTTGAGCATAAAGCAGTAGCTCTGTGGGTTGACAAGCTGGAGCACCTCATCAGCTCTGCTGGGAATGAGGCACTGGAGGAGGGGGATACATGTCTTTGGTCTGACCAGCTTTGGGCCTGGCCAGCCAGGCCACGGCTCTGCTGCCAGGGGGTGCAGTGACCCTCCTGGCTCCCTTCTGCCACACCAGGTTGACATTGCACCCACCTCTTTCCATAGCATTTCTTTTGTGGGCAGGGTTATGCTCCTGGTACACGTTTGAACAGTAAAAGGGCAATCAGACTTTGTTCTGTGGGGTTCAAAATAATGGGTGTCCCACTGTCAAGTCACAAAAATAAAGGAATTAATATTGATCTTGTATTTGCACTGGTCTGCCAAGGGCCTGTTTCTACTGACGGTAACAAGGCAGAACTTGTTTGACGGAGTTAAAAAGAAAAGGTCTGAATAACTTCACAACTAAATGAAGCCTCAGTAGGCATGTTAACCTCAGAGCAAGCATCGCTCACATGGCAGAGGGAAACTCGATTATCTCCTGCTTGAGGAAGGAGTGAGCTCATCCAGGTATCCCTGTAGAACTCTCACAGTTTGCCTGGAACAGTTTTCCTGGGAAGCACGGGGAGCTGACTGTGGGGCAGACACAAGATGGTGGTGATGCAGCTCAGTTCAGCACCTGCATTGGCTGGGTGGGGTTCACGTGGTGTCTCTGTCTTCCCTTTTGCAGCCATGGGACAAGGTGTGCGGGAGAGGTGTCTGCTGCTGCCAACAACAACATCTGCGGCGTGGGAGTTGCGTACAACTCCAAGGTGGCAGGTACGGTAGCGATTCAAGGTGTCACTGGTCCTTATGCCGCTGTGTCTCAGGCAGGACTTCTCCTGCAGAGGCAGGGAGCAGTGCCCAGGACAGCACTGCAGCTTGGCACTGGGCCATGTGTTTATTACTTTTCACGGTAGCTGGGTAGAGGAATTTCTCCCTGGATTTCAATTGAGGGCCTTAGCCTCTTTCATAACATTGTGAAGGAACAGCTCTGCTCATGTTTGTATACTGGTTTTCAATGCTTCTTCCCTGCATTCTTGCAGAATCATTTGTGACAAGTCTCATTTTGCAGAAGGTAAAATATAAATTGGTGCTGCACTTAGAAGCTGTACTTGAAAAGGCAAATCCCATGCTGCTCTTTTTCTTTAGGCTGTTGCAGGGCGGGCCCTGCAGTGTTGTAAATCCCTGCAGTTGTTGGTTTCCTCTCTTTTAACATGCAATGCAGAGTGGTAGGAGCAGATGCACAGAATGAAGTGGGTGGTACCTAGCACCCAGCATTCACAACTCAGGTGTGTTGGATGTTTTCACTTCTAATGAGCTCTTGTCTGCCCTGATAGACTGAATACAGGGACTGGAGTGAGTTAGACTCTTGGACTACCTATATTCGTTTAAGTCTAATCTAAAAAAGTTCAGTTTCACACTCTGAAGACTGCTGCATGATGAGAACAAACACAGCAAGCAGAGATTGATTATGAATTCCATTTCATCCCTCAGTCCACACTGCAACTCCCGTGTGGATGTACCCATTGCTTCTCGGGAGTGGCTCGCAGCGTGTGTGCGTGGGCAGCTCTGCTCTGCTTGGCCAGGCCCTACAGTGTCAGTAGAGGCTGGAGAAGGCTGCCTATCACCTGCACGATTGAAAGCTGAATCTCCACTGCAGAAGGGCACCAAGCAATGTTTGCTAAGCCATTACCCCAGGAGATAATGCCGAGAGTTAGGAGCTGGCCAGGCTGGTCTGGTGTATATCCTCTTTCTTCAGGAATATTAATGTCCCCTCCAGAGATGAGATATTTCATGTTTGCATTCTGGCAATAACTACTTTTAGAGGTATGTGAATTGAGGCATGGGATTTTGGGTGGATCTCATCTGTACATCTTCAAGCTGGTTGCTTAAAAATTAAGAGTTGAAGGCCTTTTCTGAGCACTGACAGTCTACAAATAATCTTCCATACTTGTCTGCTTTGTAGCAAAATCCCCACAGAGTTTTGGAAGTGCCAGCCTTTCCTGCCCGAGGACAGCACACACCTGGAGCGCTGTTGTGTGGTCTGTGGGAACATGGACGTACATTAGGGCTGAGAATCTGCTGCTGACACGGTCCAGGGTCTGTGTGTGCAGGTGGAATTGGACGTTGGCAGCCAAGGATCTGGGGCATCGTGTGTTTTCCTTCTTGTACCTCTTTTTTGCCCTGAAATCAAAGCAGATGGCTTGGCTCCTCCTGTTGTTCCCCCACCTCCCTGGAGTCAATAATTAATTCTGTTATTTCAGTGCACACCTGTATTTTACAAGCATGTGAAGGGATTTCTCACTCATTGAGTTTGACTTCATGATTTCTAGCTTGAATTAGCAGATCAGGAATATCCATCCTTGGTCTGGTTTTTATTTGTGGCTTATAGCACTTTTTCCAGCCTCACATTTGGCACATGGATTTTGTATTGAATACAGTAAAAGCACTAGCTTCTAAATCAGGGTCCTCGCTGCCATTTGCACTCTTTGGCTCCGTGGCATTGATTTCTGTCCCATCTGTGTCCTAAAACTGTTGGGAAACACTGAACTTCAACTTAAGGCTACAAATGAGAGTTGGAATGTATCCCTGGTTACTCAGGTCTCATCCAGAGGCTGCCCAGAGGTTTATTATCAGTGAAACTGTCCTGTGTGGGGGGCGTGATGGATGTGAGGGCTTGCACTGCTGCCTTTGTCACACTCTCTGCCTTGCTTAGGGCCAACACTTTGAGGTTTTATGAAGCAGGCATGTCCTAGGATTATACTGTTTAAACTCTTAACCTGATTCCTACTGCAGTATGGGTTAAAGGAAGCAGGTTTTAGTTTGCTTTTCTCCAAATACTGGCCGTATTTTGCTCTTGCGTCTGCATGTTGACACAATTATATTTTTCCAGGAAATTGTTGTGTAGTGTGTTTCCCCTCTCTGATTACATTCTGGAGAAGAACCAAAATAAACAGAAAAATTACTTGAAAAATTAATGAAGTGTAAATGCATCATGGAGTATAAATTAGAGATGGGGGGGCCTTAGTGCTTATCCCTAGTTGTTATAAAATACTATTTTAAATGCTATTAATGTTATTTAAATGATATGAAATTCTGAGATAACTGAATACTACTGTTTTAAAAGGGTTTTCAAATAGTAGATGGAAAATGCTATGTAATTAGAAAGCTAACAAGAAGGTGCTTTCTCTTTCTGGGCCACACTGCGTTGCTGTGGCTGGATGTTTAAGTGCTGCCATCCTGCTGGGTAAGCACACCCTGATGAAGTGCAGATGGCGAGTGCAGAGTTACTGGAGTGGGTGAAACTGCCAGTGAATTAAAATACCTGTAACTGGGGGACTTCTCCAGGTACTGAGGTTTCATCTTGTGCTGGGTAATGCATAATTCATGTTTACATTGATTCAATCTACAGGTATTCGAATGCTTGACCAGCCGTTTATGACCGACATCATTGAGGCTTCCTCTATCAGTCATATGCCTCAAGTCATAGATATATATAGTGCCAGCTGGGGACCAACTGATAATGGAAAGACAGTGGATGGACCTAGAGAGCTAACACTGCAAGCGATGGCAGATGGTGTGAACAAGGTAACAGTCTTATTTAACAATCTGGGTACCTGGGCAGAGTGATACACACGCACTTACACTGAAACCAGTGGCTTTGGAATACGTGGTCCTCCCCTAGATGTTGCAGAACACAATGTAGTTGTGTAAACTGTCCCAACTTTCAGCACATTCCAGTGTCCATGGATGTTCTCTCTGCAGTATTGTGGCGTTGCTTTTATTGTGTAGTCTCAGGTTACTGTGCTCTCTTGCATGGAACGGCGTTTATCTCTAGTCAGCTTGCAAAGGCTTTTCCAATGCCATCACAGTCCAAATGGAAGAGCCTGATCCTGTAAATGTTCCCCAGGTTGAAACATGTTGGCTGTACTAATGACATCGCATTGTCTGTTTTGATGTGCCCCAAATTTAATTATCATTTTGGCTTTCAGGTCATAGTACCTTCCAGGTCACTCATATATGGTCATTGTTAGAGCTGTGATTGAACCACACCTGTTCAGATGTCCATGGAGTAGTATTATTCCCCGGGTAGGGAATATCAGGAGCAGTAGTGGGAGCCTCCTTGTTTATTCCCACCTTTCCACCTCCTTCTAGGAACAGTCTGTGGTCTTTGTTAAAGACACTTGGTATCAGCCTGGAATCTCTTAAACCTGCACTCTATAAAATCAGATAAAACGTGTGCCACAACTCAAAAAGAAAACAAATCAGTCCAAACCAAACAAACCTTGCACGACTCTTGTCTCCATCTCTTTGGTATCATGCAGCCAGGAAAACCACAGCTTCTCCTGGTGCTGTAGGGAATGAGCCTCCTCCCCTTGGTTGATCATAGATGGGTTTCCATAATGAAAAGATCTGAAATTCCCCAGAACAGCTGGGGTGGTTTTGTGTGGGAGCTCTGCAGTTACTCACTTTTCCATCCAAATTATTTCTTCTTCTTACTTGTGCCAGTTTCTCCCACTCTTCATTACCACCTCACTGTGAGCAGCACATTTAGTTTACGGTGTTTTGTGACATGATAATTAAATCTACTGCTGTGGTAGGTAGTTGAAGCATCTAAAGCTTTCCTAAATCCTCAGCCTCAAATGTTTTGCCTATAACTGATGAATTATAGTCATCTTCACGCTATTGCTCATAAAAATAAGCAATGTACTGCAGTAATGCAGGAAGGCTTGTCACAGATTTCTCCTGAGTCTCCTCAGTTTTGGAGTATAAACTTTACAAACCTCTGATGAGCTCAGAGTTGCTGTGAAGCCATCTTACACAAGCTGTGTTTCTTCTCATAACTTTCTTTCATTTATGTAGAGTTTCCATAAAGATCTTTTAAATACTCCTGTCTTGGGGAGAATCTTTGTCTTTATGTGACATAGTTAATACCTTTTTAGAAACACCTTGGTGTCTTATGGTTAGTGGGTAGTTGATCTTCCTTCCACTAATGTTGGATGGAGCAGAGAGAAACTCTGAATATAGAAGAATTTCCATATAATTCTAGTGTTATTCTCCTCCCATGTGGAACTCATCGGAAAGTACCAGAAAAGACACCAATAACCCTGGCAGGGGAATGTAAACTAAACTAAATAGAACTATTTTACCCTCTCAAGAGAAGCAGATTTTAATTTGTAGTTGTGTTGTTTTGCAGTTTGGTATTTAAAAGATCTTTCAGTTAACTCAGTATCCTATCACCATGTGCTTTAGTTTGGGGCTTTATACTGGAATTAACCTTCTCTTTGAATGTGAAGTACAGGAGAAGGGGTTCTTCTCTTCTGTTTTATTGTCTGGTCATAGTCTCATACTTGGGAGTGTTGGGCATGTTACTTTTTTAATTCCTTCCTCTCAAAAGTGTTTGTAATCATCTTCAATAAATAATTTGCAATATTAAGGTCAGAAGAGGCCCTGAGATCTCTCAGGCTGAATGCTTGTGAAGGAGAGAGAATGGTGGTGCTGAGCTGTGCTCTGGGAAGGATTGCTCTTGTACCTTATCAGGAAGCATAAAATGAACAGGAGAGCCTGCATTAGGAAACCAGTTCTCTCCAACAGCCATTGCATAATTAGAGAGCAGAAAGAACAATGCTGGATTCTACCTCAGAAAGACATTGTTGGCCAGGGACAATTACACTTAATTTTATAGTGGCAGTATCCTGGCAATACGTGGAGGAAGAGACAGCTCCACCCCAAATAACTCCTTTAGCATTGTGTTCATAGCTTTATCTGCCCTATTTTGCTCATTACAGTTCCTGTCGTAGAAGGGTTTTTTGGGTGTAGTTTGACCTGGTTTCTTTTTTGGAAATCCTAATTTTTCTGAAGATATTTAAAGCTGTCAGTAGATGCTGGGTGCCCTCCATGGTGCTTTGAAAAACCCACTACAGACTTTCCTGCATGTAAAGGAAGACAACCAGCCTTTGATATAAAACCCTTTTACCTAGTTTAGGGCTATAATATATGCATCAAATTCTGTATTGACTGTGCAAATGTAAATCTGATTTATGATCATTTTTTCAGAATAAAAAGGCCTCTTATTAAAGAGAAAAGTATCTTTTATAAACCGAGAGACAAATAAATGTAGGAATTCTTTTTCTCAGTCTAGGGCTGATTCTCACCAGAGTGATGGTTCATGAATTAGTGATGAAGCTGAAATATTGTCAGGGAGGAAGCAACTTGCTGGGAATAAGAATGTGTTATTAAAGTAAAAGCAATACTTTGAAATGTCTTAGAAGGAAATGTTGTAAGATCTCTTGCACAAAACAAGATAGATCTCCCTGCAGTAAACTGAAAATAAATAAATGGGACTGATATGAAATTCCTATGGGGAATATGCAGGTCACTGAGTTAACAAGCACAGGTAACGTTTACCTTGGTGCCACCACACTTGGGAACCCGGCACAAGGAGAAACACACTGACAAGAGTTTCATCTTCCCCCAAACTCCTTTCGCTGTCAAGTCCTTTTGAAGTCTCCCTTCCAGAGCTGCTGGGATGCTGGGGGAAAATAGTCACCTGAGAAGGGTAAGATGATGTTACCTGCAGAAACTGTGAGACTTACTTCTTGTTTGACTGTCTGTTTCTATGGCTTGAAGCTGTACAGCTATAACCAGGTGAGCTAAGCCCATCTTCTTACCTTTCCTCTTCCATTTCCGATTCCTGGCATTTGTTAAGCTAATTCTTACCTTCTCTCCTGACCATACCTTGGCTTTGGTGTGTTCTTTGCTTGTAAGATAAATAGCATAAGTAAAGGCAGCACTAAAACAGCATAATTAAGGACATCAGAATCTGTCCATCACATTGGCAACTCCTTTATGTACTCTTTTACCCACTGCTTTTCTGAGGCTGAACACAAAGGTTTGAGATGGCGTGTGTGTGAACCTGGTGTCAGTGTAATACCTGGAATCAGAAGGTACTGGGAAGGAGACTCAAGCTGCCTTTTGTTATTAAGCCCCAATCTCACTCATTTTTAGTGCAGTCTGCTCTTTGCTGTGTTATCTCATGACTTCTGTTCAGGGGCCGCAGTCAGCAGTCACTGGGTCACTGAATAGTGGTAGTTGCACTGTGAAGATAAATGAGCTCACAGCTGAAATACCGGGCTGGAAACAGGGATTGGAGGAGTTTCATGCACACGAACATCCACAGGCAGCTTGGCACTTACCGGCGCTGGTTTGACACAGACCCACAGTCTTACCTGATGCAGATTCCAGCTGCTACAAAACATGTGTTTGAGACGTAACTGGAAAGGACTTAATACAACTTCTAGTTTTTGAAGATGAGGTTGAAACTTGTGAGTGTCCAGTACCTGCCTAATGAGGAGATCTTGCACTCGCCCTTGGCTGGGAGGCACCTGAGGCTGACTGCCAGCTGTAACGGGAGACTGCGCCCGAGTCAGGGTTGTCTGCAACAGGCTGAGGGACAAAGGCTGCTCTGTCTGGTGAAAGAGAGATCCAGAAAATGCCCTCTGTCATGCACTCTCTCTCTTTTCTTTAAACACACTTGCCAGGAGCAAAAAATGGATAGCCTTAATGAGATTTTATTATCTGGGCTCTAGACTCTGTCTGAGCCACATCTGTGATCAGCAGCAGGTTATGGGGTTTAGGGAGAAAATGTATGTGTTTCTTCACAGTCACAGTAACTCACCAACCTGTCACTGATCTGGGCTGTCATAGAATCATAGAGTGGTTTGGGTTGGAAGGGACCTTCAAGCTCATCCAGTCCCAACCCCCCTACCAGCAGCAGGGCCCCCTTCCACT